AAAAAAAAAAAAAAAAAAAGAATGGTATTCCTGGTGTCAACATTAGTGAGAAAGAAAAAGCAGGAGTGTCTCTCTTATGACTAGGGTAGTAGCAAGATGGAATAAATACCCTGGAAAGGCTGACTGCATCTTCTATCCCATATGGGGAATTGGGGAATTGGGGTTGATCCCTAACCACAGCCTGCCTAGCAGAAGTAGTAATGATGGTTGGCAGAGCATGTGTGTGTTCTTAATGATAAGCCTCCATGCTCCTTGACCTTCAACCTGACCAGGCACATGCTGATTCCTCACAGGTGTGAGGCTGTACCAGATGGAGGATAAAACCACCTCTAGGCCATGGTGGGTGATTGCTATAGGATGTAGGACCAGGAGGAAAAGAAGCCAGAAATGATAGTCTAGAGTGAAAATTGAGGAAGGAAGGAAGGAAAATAGAAAAGTAAGAATGGTAAGGCAAGAGGGGAAATTGGAAAAAAAAAAGAATGGTACTGATTTAAAAAAAGGATAGATTTTGTGTTCTACCCACTACTTAGCTCCTTTGTGGAAGGAGGCATGAGATCTGTGAGGATTAATTTACTGACACCACCCAAGAAAGCTGGACTTACAGCTTCATAGGCATCTGAAATGCCTTCAGGATACAAGAGATACAGGAAATCATTAGGGTTGGAGCCATTGCTGAAGACCCAGCTCAGCTGTGAGTTGTGTCAAGATTGCAAAGTCAGTGTTTCTATGTATATTTTAGCAGATGGAAGACTTATTTGTGCTTCTCTTTTTTTTTTCTTTTGAGTCAGGGCCTCATCCTGTTGCCCAAGCTGCAGAGCAGTGGCGGGATCATGGCTCACTGCAGCCTCAAACTCCTAGGCTCAATGAATCCTCCCACTTCAGCCTCCCAAGTGACTGAGATTACAGGTATGCACCACCATGCCTGGCTAAATTTTTAAATTTTTTTGGTAGAGACAGGGTCTCATTATGTTTCCCAGGCTGGCCTCAAGCAGCCCTGCCACCTCAGCCTCCCAGAGTGCTGGGATTATAGGTGTGAGGCACCACACACCTGGCTCTTATTTCTATAGAATTAAATGTACTATTAAAAACTGGTTTTGGCTGAGTGTAGTGACTCATGCCTATAGCCCCAGTACTTTGGGAGGCTGAGGCAAGAGGATTTGAGTCCAGCCTGGGCAACATGGCAAGACCTTGTCTCTACAAAAAAATTAAAAAATTAACCAAGTGTGGTAGCACACAGCTGAGCTACAAGTAGTCTCGGCTACTTGGGAGGCTGAGGTGGAAGGATCACCTTAGTACAGGAGGTCGAAGCGGCAATGAGCTGTGATTGAGCCACTGTACTCCAGCCTAGGTGTCAGATTAAGCTCCTGACTCAAAAAATAAAAATAAACCTAGTTTGTCTGGGCACAGTGGTTCATTCCTGTAATCCTAGCACTTCGGGCTGAAGGAGAAGAATTGCTTGAGGTCAGGAGTTCAAGACCACTCTGGATAATATAGTTAGACCTCTTCTCTACAGTACATCAAAAAATTTAGCAAGGCGTGGTGGCGCACATCTGTAGTCTCAGCTAATCAGGAGGCTGGAATGGGAGGATCACTTGAGCCCAGGAATTTGAGGCTGCAGTGAGCCTTGATCATGCTACCACACTCCAGTCTGGATGACAAAGTAAGACCTCAACTCAATAATAAAAATAAAAACAGGCTGGGCGCTGTGCCTCAAGCCTGTAATCCCAGAACTTTGGGAGGCTGAGGCGAGAGGAATGCCTGAGCTCGAGGGTTGAGACCAGCCTGGGCAACTTGGTGAGACCTCGTCTCTACAATAAATTTTTTAAAAATTAGCCGGGTGTGGTAGCGTGCGCCTGTAGTTCCAGCTACCTGGAAGGCTGAGGTGGAAGAATCACCAGAGCCCAGCAGTTGGACGCTGGAATGGCTGTGAGCATGCCACTGCACTCTAGCCTGGACAATGGAGTGAGACTCCAACTCAAAAAATAAAATTAAAAAAAAAACTAGTTTTGTCAACTATTACCTTAACTCAGATTTTTAAACCCGGTGTCTCTTTTTTAATGGTAAAAAGATATATATTTAGAATTAGCTAGCTGGACTCAGTTGAGATGATCCCAATTTTATTGGCAACGTCCAAAGCATTGTAGTCTGAAACCTGTCAACCGTATGTGCCACCTTTTTTCCATCAGGCCTGATTAGGATGTTGTTGACCTTGGCCACAGCAATGCCATAGAGCTTCTTCATAGCCTGTTTGATCTGGTGCTTGTTGACCTTGACATCCACAGTGAACACAAGTGTGTGGTTGTCTTCTATCTTCTCCACGGCCAACTCAGTGGTCAGGAGGTGCTTGATGATGGCAGAGCGATCAAGTTTGTTTCTCCCAGGGATGCTCTTCTGAACCACAGTGTCCTGGGCCACCGGAAGGTGGGTGACACGCAGATCTTTTTTTGTGTGGCTGTGGATGCTTTCCCACTCTGCCTTCTTGGCCTTCAAAGCCTTTGCTTAAGCTCAGCTTTGTGAAAGACAGGAGTTTCCTTCTTCGCCATCTTGTAAAAAAAAAGTTAAGCCCAGTGTTTTAAAAAATTGTCTTAAGCCGGGCTTGGTGGTTCAGCCTGTAATCCCGTGCTTTGGGAGGCTGAGGTGAGTGGATTGCCTGAGCCCGCGGGTTCAAGACCCGCCTGGTCAAGACCCGCCTGGTCAACTTGGCGAGACCTCATCTCCACAATAAATCAAAAATTAGCCGGGCGTGGTAGCACGCACCTATAGTTCCAGCTACTGGAAGGCTGAGGCAGAAAGATCACCAGAACCCAGCAGGTCAAGGCTGCGGTGGCCGGGAGCGGCCACTGCACTCCAGTCTGGGTAACAGTGAGACTCCAACTCAAAAAAAAAAAAAAAAAAATTGCCTTAAGCGACTAAACTAAGGAAAAGGAAATTATTCAGCCGTCAGCAAGTGAGCAAAACAAACAAAGGTATTTGTGTTAGACACCAGAATAAGTGGAGTTCTTCCGACTTGCCCTACTCTTCAGAAAATCCTCATTCAAAGTCATGCTTACGAAACCTTTCATTGCAGGAGACAACGCATGTAACCTCATGATCTTCGACACTCGAAAAACGACTGGACAACCCAACTGCTACCTATTTTTCTGTCCCAGTGAGGAAGCCTGTCCACTGAAACCAGCAAAAGGACTTAGGAGTTACAGAATAATCACAGGTAACGAAAACCTTGTTCTTTTTCTTTTGTGATTGGAATTATTAAGGATATGGTTTATGTGGAAGATTTTCTACTAAAGAGTCTAAATAAAACAGATCACAAGTAATGAGACATACCAAAAAGTCTCATGATTTGGAATTCACTTTATTAAACCAAAATTTGTGTTCCAGTGAAAGGCATGATAGTATTTGCTTTTACCTTCAGAAGATCAAAGGTGCACAGATTTTTGATGAAACATTTTTGAAGCACCTCTTTAGACTAATGTCAGCAGCACTGAAATAAGTATATAGGTTTCCAGGGTGACTGTTTTGAAATGGCTAAAACCCATGTTAATATATAAAATTCTAGTACAAAGCCAGGCTCGGTGGCTCAGCCTGTAATCCCGCACCTTTGGGAGGTTGAGGTGAGTGGATTGCCTGAGCCCACGGGTTCGAGACCCGCCTGGGCAGGCAAGACCTCATCTCTACAATAAATCAAAAAATTAGCCAGGCGTGGTAGCACGCGCCTGTAGTTCCAGCTATGTGGAAGGCTGAGGCGGAAGGATCACCGGAGCCCAGCAGGTCGAGGCTGCGGTGGCCGGGAGTGGCCACTGTACTCCAGTCTGGGCGACAGAGTGAGACTCCAACTCAAATATAATAAAATAAAATAAAATTCTAGTACATTTGTTATTGATTTCTCATTATTTTATAATCATATTATCTGAAGTCAAACTCAATGCATTTTAGATATTATTCGAGAAACATTTACTGAACACCCATCTTGTGCCAGATTCTGTGCAAAGCACTAGAAATAGTTTCCATGTTTCTGAAACTTACATCTTAATTCAGAATACAGAAAATAAACGCTAAAAAAATAATGATAAGGGCAACCCCTTCGGGTCCCTTCCCACTGTGGGAGATTTTCTGTTCTCTCAATAAATCCTGCTTTCTCAAAAAAAAAGATATAATTACTTGGATATATATTGTTGAGATTTTGGCATGTTAACTTTCAAACTGAAATAGTCACATTTTAAAATTTAAGTTTTAGAAAGTTTTTATCATCCTGCCCTTTATTATTAATTGCATTCTATTTGTTTATTCAACACATAACAAATGTCATTTAGCATCTCCTATGTGCCAAGCACTTTTTATGCCCAAGGGATTCAACACTAAACATAAAAAACAAGGTTCGAACAATTATCGTAATATTATTAGAAAAGAATTGGCAGTAGTGGGAAACTGCCGGGAGGAGGGCGGGGAAGCGGGATTGGCAGTAGTAGAAGTCTGCCTGGGGAAGGGGGGCACACCTCATCAACAAGGGTACCTGCATAATGAACATTTGTATACCTAACCCTGAATTGTACCCCACATCTTTAAAATTTAAAAAATTAAAAGTTAAAAAAAAGAGAAAGAAACAAGGTTCTTACTTCTGGCCCTTATGTTTCAGGGGAGAGAGACAATAACCATAATAAATGAAAGATTAAGAAAAAGGTAGTCATAATCCTAAGTACTATGCAGAGAATTAAGATGTAATAGATCAATGTGATAGATCATTACTGAGTGAAGACATAATCCCTAAACTGAGATCTAAACAGCAAGGAGCCATATGTGAGGAGGTCAGGGAAGACTTTCCAGATCCAAGATCCTCAGGCAGACATATGCTTCATTCCCAGCCAGCTGACCCATCATGAACTGTGCAGAGAGTGAACTGCAAAATGACAAGGAGAGTCAGGTCACATACAGCTTTTTAAGCCACGGAAGGGAGTTTTTATTTTAGGTGTGTGATGGGAACTGTTGGATGTTTAAAGCAGATGTGTTATGTGGTATTTGAAGGGCAGTTTCTCAAAGTCTGTTGTGACTGCCCTCTTGGGAGTGGACAGTGATGCAGCAGCAGAGGGGAAATGGGAAGCTGGTGAGGAGGCAGGAGTGAGATCCAGGTGAATGTCCAGGGAGGGGGCAGAGGGGTTGGAGAGAGGAGTGAATATATGGGCTGTCCCAGAGTTAGAGTTGGCGGGATTTGGTGGTGACATGGATATGGGGAGCAGGAGAGAAGAAGTATTGAGGCTAAATCCTAGTTTTTGACTTGTGTCCACATGGATGGCGGTGCCATTTGCTGCACTGGGGAAGATTTGAGGAGAAGCAGTTTTGGGGTTGGAAGGTGAGGGGTGGAATCCAGGGTTCTCTCGACGGTATGAGGTGTGTAGTACCATGGGGGATAATGCTGCCCTGGGCACCTGGGCACTGACACTGCTTTGTCCCTGCCTGAGGCTGTATCGGATTTTGTTAATGAACCAGGGGAACCTTGGTATCAAACATTCCCTTAAACAGAAGCATGTTTGTGTAAATTTGTTACTGGGATAGGATGATGAATGTTTTTTGTCTGTCTGTTTGTTTGTTTGAGTTGGAGTCTCACTCTGTCGCCCAGACAGGAGTGCAGTGGCCGCTCCCGGCCACCGCAGCCTCGACCTGCTGGGCTCCAGCCATCCTTCCGCTCAGCCTTCCAAGTAGCCAGGCGGCGCCCGGCTAGTATGAATATTATAGTAGAATGTGTTGTCTAATTTTTCTAATACTTCTGTAGTGTTGTTGCTTTAATAATGCATGTGCAAAAGAGTAAGTATATGATAAGGATCCTCACCAAAGGAAATGGGGAGAAATGGGAACTTGGCTTGTGCCTAAATCTCTTCAGGGTGGGTGTGAAGGTAGAATTAGAATCAAACGGTTCTTATGGCGGCCACCAGGGGGCGTCATCAGCGCAGAGCGGATTGATGGACATCTACGGGCGCCAACCCTGGGCATAGGAGGCAAAGGACCGTTTATATCTATCTATAGGATGTGTATAAGTTGTGTTTGTAATCCTGCTTATGGATCTGTCTGTGTTGATGGATTGAGATTACCTCATTAAAAATGAATTATCTGCCTCATGTTTGGAGGGAAATTAAATAATAGATGTCTGTTTGGCAGTTTGTTTTCCAAGGTCTATAATTAATGGAATAATATTTACAGACTAAAAATTTGAAAGATGATATTGGACTCTATTTATTCTATAAAACGATTGCAGCTTGGCATTCATCTTTTTTCTTCTTCTTCTTCTTTTGGCAGCGTTATGGGATATCATTTTTACCCAAGAACCGGAAGAATAGGAGAATTTAGAAATAGAATAAATTGGGAGTCTGTTTGCTTAGCTGGGATCCAAGTACTAGTCAGTCCCTCGGTTTTTGACTCGGTGAAGTCACTTAAAAATAAAACTCAAAAGAGAGGTTGAGGGCACAGGACTATTTCCCAGCTCCCTCTGGGGTTCACCTCTGTGTGACAGAGAGAAAGCACCACGCCTTCTTGGCAAACATCTGTGGTTAAGGCAAATGGAGCAGGTGTGGGTGGCTCTAAGATCTTTGCCAGTAGATGAATCTTATCAAGACACGGGACTGGCCCAAGCTGTACTTTGTTTATGAGATTGCATGCTTGAGAAAGAAAACAGCTGTTTTGGTCATTCTTGTCAATGGCCATATTTCTGATGTCACACACATCATGGAGCATTTACATAGTCTCTTTTGGTTTGTTTTGTTTTATTTTATCCTCTTTTTTTTTCCCCTGAGTCCCAACAGGAAACAAATTTTTTTTACTTTAAATCAAAATACATTGAGTCTTCTTTTTAAAAATATCTGGTCCTACCTAAAATTAGAGGTGCTGTTTCTCTCATGGTGATGCTGTAAATATAACACCTGTCACAAAAGCCCTGATCTTTGGCATTGCTGGAGGAAAAAGGGACTCGGGGCATCTAAATCCCATGTTAAGTAAGATACTACATTCTGGAACAGGTGTCCACCAGCTCTTTCTGTCAAGGGCCTATTATTTTAGACTTTTCAAGACAGTATTTTAGGCTTTGCGGACCGCCTTCAAGCCATTGTACCTACTCACCTTTATTCTTGTAGGACAAAAGACTGTATGTCCACAAGTGAGCATGGTTGTGTGCTGATAAAACTTTAACTTGCAGACACAGACATTTGAGTTTCATATACTTTTCATGTGTCACAAAATAGTCTTTTGATTTTTTTTTTTTTTTTTTTTGAGAAAGCAGAATTTATTGAGAGGACAGAAAGGCTCCCATAGTGGTAGGGGACCCAAGGGGGTTGCCCTTGATTTTTTTTAACCATTTAAAAATGTAGAAACCATTCTTAGCTTGCAAGCCATATGAAGACAGGTGGAAGGCCAGATTTGTCAATTGGTCTGTAGCTTGCTGAGCCCTGTCTAATAAGTGACAGTTCTGAAGAACCTTTTGGAGGTGTGAGACTGAGAGAGTAGCCGCAAGATGATCCGAATCCAGAGCTGCCTGTGGGTCTGTTTTAGGAGAGAGGAGAGTGCAGTCTAGTTGAGAAACTAGCAAGGAGGTGAGTTGAGAAAGAAAGGGGAAAAGGGAGCAGGAGAGAGTGAACCAATAAGCACTAGGCCCTGCTTCTGCTTCTTTGCTGCCTTTGCTGGTGTTTTCTACAGTTCTAATCTAAGAGAAATGGTTAGCCAAGGAGCAGTGTGATAGAGAGCAACGCAAGTGATCGTTCCCTGCACTTGATGGCTTGAGCAGGCCTTTCCGGTTTGAGCTGTGATCAATGGGATGTGAGACCAAGAACAAACTTCTAAGCTTTCTCGAGCAGGCAGGAGCAGGATCTGAAGCTGGTTTCTTCTCAGCAGGATTGAAGACTGACTATGTGGTTTTCTGCTCTTTTTGTCCACAATGTAGCCACCATGGTTTCAAATATTAGTCCCATCACCCTCATAACCTAAGACGTTGGCTCTGGAATTCTAATCTCTGAGCTAGGTGTGGCGACTCATGCCTGTAATCCCAGCTACTTGAGAGGCTGAGATGGAAGGATCCCTTGAGCCTAGGAGGTGAAGGGTACAGTGAGCTATGATCAGGCTATTGCACTCCAGCCTGGGCGACAGAGTGAGACCCTGTCTTAGAAAGCGGGGGGGTGGTGAAGAGGGAGGGAAGAAGGGAAGGAAAGGGAAAGGGGAAAAATCTGAAAAAAATTGTAATTGTTGGGAGCCCCTCCTCTGAGTGCAGTGCTGGAACAATGCATGTTTTTAGGTTGGAAGGATACCTGCTGCTGCTGTCTTGGCCTCGATGCCGTGAGGGGAGACCAGACCCTCTTCCTCCCTGCCAGAGGCACGTCACAGGGATGCTGTCCTGGCTTCCAACTCCATCGCCTCAGTTTTCCATGGCTTCCACATACCTTTCTGCCCTGGCCCTTAACTCTCCCCATCTTCCAAAACCCCTTGTTGCCGAGCCCCTCCTGCCTCTCCCCGTGCAGCTCCCACTTTTCCTTAATTTGCCTGATCCTCCTCCACACATTTCTCTTCTTGTCTATCCCGTCACACTAGAAATAAACCACAGCATCTGGCGGAGACGTGCTGTTATCAGATTCTCAGTCAGCAATTTGCGTTTTTCCGTTTTGTACACATTTTAATGAAATGTCAAGCTTTAGTAGTTTGGGGAACTGTTGAACAGGCAGATATGTTTGCATTTTAAAACCTAGCTTAACATGGAATTAAGTCTTCCTTTAATTTTTGATACACCTTCAGATTTTCCGTCTTTGGCCAGAACTGGTTTGCCAAGCCAAGAGTTAGCCCAAGAAGATTCTCCCCTGCACAGCCAGCCTTCACAAGCAGTTGCTCCCTTAATGGCTCACCTGGCAGTTTATTCAAAGCCCACAGATGTCTCATGGAGAAATGCACCTTCTCAAAAGCTGGGGTCCTCAAATCACTCGGAAAAACTACTCAAGATTGACCAAGTGAGTACCCAGCTCTCTGTTGATAAAGAAAAAGGCCATTCTTGGAGCTCACAGCTGTCCTCAGAACGAGAAACAGCCCATCTGCTGCCTGAAAACGTGACAGCGTCCCCAGCGACAGTAGCATTTGCTTCTCTACCTGCCACCTCGGCTCCTCCTGAACCTGCAGCTCCTCTACCTACTAATGCTTCAGGGACACCTCCTGGGATCACTCGGCCATGGATGGCAGCCCCAGCTCTGCCTGCTCAGCCACGGCTGGCCACCACAGCTCCACCTGTAACCGTTGTGTCTTCTCAGCCTCCGCCGGGCCTCATTTCCACAGCTTTTACACAGGCTGTGGTTACACCCCAAGAGATGGCCACCACGGCAGTTCCAACTACCACTTTTCAGACACCTACAGACTTGAAAGGCACCCCGGAAACAGTGCCCTTTAGTGATGTCTCCAACCTAACTTTGGACACGGGGGTTGTGCAGAACGCTGCCACCCTTTCGTTGTCACATGTGGAGTCTGCTGCTACAAATAAAACTGCTTCCCAGGACACTGGGAAGGCCAGTCCAGGCAGTTCCTCACTGGGCAGTGTCCTAGCAAACCCAAACGGCCTTCCCTTTGAAAAGTGGCTGCTCATTGGGACCCTGCTCTTTGGCGTTCTGTTCCTGGTGATAGGCCTTGTCCTCGTGGGTAGAATTCTCTCAGAATCCCTCCGCAGGAAACGTTATTCCAGACTTGATTATTTGATCAATGGGATCTATGTTGATATCTGAGGCTGAAACTCAGTGGTCTCTTAAACCGTTTAGAACTAGGAGCCCAAATGCAGTGAATTTCTGCTGATTTGCTGATCTTAGCTGGAAGTTGTATTTTGAAGACAGGAAAATGCCCCTTCTCCTTTCTTTGTATTTGTTTTTTGGGGAGAAGGGAGAGGAACCAAATTGGGTTATTTAGGTGATCTGCCTCTGAAACATTAGCTGAAAACAAAGGTCTACCTAAAGTACTAAAGTATAATTGCCATATAAATTAGAATATTCGACTGGCTTTTTATACAAGGAAAAAGATTAGGACATGGAGGTTCTAATCCATTAATATTTTTGGTTCCAGATAAAATCAACTGTTTATTATATTAGTTCTAATGGATCCATTTTCCTTTTTATATGAATTCCAATAAAACTTATTCCAGATGTATTTCTTTCCAATTAAATATTTGAATAAACCATTTGTTACTCAGTAATGTTCTTATAAGTGGCACATCCAGCTGGATAATTTCCATTTATTTTCACCAGCAAAATGATGAAATGATGAAAATGTGTTCCAAGTTAAAATGACAAGCCCTCCTTTTCCCATCAGTGAGCAGAAAGGTTCCTTTGGGAGAATTCTAGCAGAACATGAGCCGATGTGGACACGGAGATAAGTCAGGTCTGATAAATGACCAAATCCACTTTGGGTCTCTTCTAAGTTACTTTTTTAAAAAAGTATTATAGGCATTTCCAAACTTATATTAAGTTAAAAATGTAATCGATACTATTTATAAATCCTTACCTAAACTTGACCAGCAGTCAGTTTTACCTTTATTTGGAGCACCATTGGCAACATGTAACTCTTAGATTAGTATGCTATCATTTTTATTGGTTACTTATTGACATTTCTGAGAAAGGCTTTTTTATAAAGAGAATCTTCCATACAAGTTACAGGTAACGAGGGGTCCAGAAGCCCCCAGGTTGGTTTGTCGTCTCTCCTCTGTGTACTTCAGTTAGCTTGTCTGCAAAACAAGTTTTGTCCCTTCAAGCTGTCACCAGGGCTTTTAAACATAAAAATGGAATTCAGATGTGAATGCTACACAGTGAGCACTAGAGGGCAGTAGCTAGTTAATAAGTAAAGCAATTAAGACAAGTGTAGGTAGGACATGACAGAAACAGGCTTTTCTCAGAAATTCCTCCTCACCTCCTCCTCCCCCTCCTCCCCCTGGTTTACCCTAAGCTCATAAAGCACATTAAGAGGAAAGCCGGTCTATTTGAAAATACTACTTTTCATATATTTTCCAACTTAACAGCTTGACACAAATCTCTGAGGGGTTTACATAAGCTTTAAGTAGGCTGAATAAATAAAACCTTGAGTCAATTTAATTTAACAAGTACTTATTGAATATCCACATGTAGGCCAGAATCAGATTATTAACCAAGTGCTCTGGAATTTAAAAATTTCTCCTGTCTTTGTTCATGGGTTGGAGAATGGAAAGAAGGCTTTCTGGGGTTGCTTATAAAGGCTCTTTCCTGGCCCTTTTGTAGTTCTGTGTCCACTTTGCTGCAGTGTCTCGATGGGGAGACCAGACAGGAGGCTTTAGCAGCAGTCCAGATGATCAGTGTATGTTCCCAAATTCTGCCTGTGACTGGGGAAGTCGATTGTAGGGGAACATCTGGATTCAAGACATACTTTTCTTTTTTTTTAAGAGTGGGGTCTCTGTTACCCAGGCTGGAGTGCAGTGGCACAGTCATGGCTCACCACAGCCTCAAACTTCTGGGCTCAGACGATCTTCCCACTTCAGCCTCCCTAGTAGCTGGGATTATGGGTGTGCACTGTGATGGCTGGCTAGTTTTTTCGTTTTTGTACAGACAAGGCTTCACTATGTTGCCAAGGCTGGTCTCGATCTCCGGCTCAAGCAATCCCCTCGCCTTAGTCTCCCAAAGTGCTGGGATTACAGGTGTGAGCTACTGCACCCAGCTTGGATTCAAAACGTACTTGTAAAGAGGACAGAGGAGCTCTTCTCACATGGCTCTTTACTGATCACCCCTGGACTGTGGCTGTGGCTGCTGGAAGAGCAATCACAGGTACATGCCTGCACCCACTCTCTTTTAGATGACTTTAAACAGTGACCAGCCTATTTTTTTTTTTCTTTTTTTTTTTGACTTGGAGTCTCACTCTGTCTCCCCGACTGGA